TTCATGTTAATACTAGCTTTTTTTCTTTTTTCTTTTTTTATCGTAAATATGCGCATTTTATTTATATAGAATAGGAACATTATGAAAGTAGATAAATTGCTTATTGTCTATTACAAAATGCGCAATATAATTAGAGAAATCCTCAATTTAGAACCTATCATCTTCAACATGTAAGGCTCTTTTTGCTAATTCATAGACAACTGCTTGACCATTGTGTTGAACATGTTGAACTTTTTCTTTTTTTTTTGATAAGGGCAATGGTTAGAGGTTAGTATGTTAAATGTGTTAGTATGAGGTATTGAACCCGAGACTTGAAAGTGCAAATCACGGGTTGTCTTTTAGAACAATAAGTGATCACTGAGCCACGGCATGTGGAATGTGAACATGTTGAACTTGACAGGAGAGAAATGGGGTCATCATAGCTTTACAATGCACTAGGATATTTCCAAGGCTTGAGTTCATAAAAGACAATTCACCATTTAACACTATTACAATATTGGTGCAATTTGATTCAACCACAATTCTATTAAACATAAGATCCCATGCCCACTAGAGTGCCTTCCTCAAGCTACAAGCTTCTACTTCCTCTGACAACAAGTTCCTAAGACCCTTATAACACATAACAGTCATTACTTCTTTGACAGAGTTTCAAGCTACTGCTCCCATCCTAAACCTATGTTATTGCTCACATAATACTAGCATTTTACACTGCCCAGTCAACTCCAACTCAGCACTAGGGTCCACCAAAACATGCAAATGGTTAGTTTTCAATAGAAAAATAATGCCAGTAAAATTTATTGATAAGCTAAGGGGTTAATCTTCCATAACTTTCAGTTCAAGGATTAATCTACCACCAACCTCTACGTACAGGGGTTTACCTTTTGCATTAAATGTACACACCCTAAACCATACGCATAAAATGAAACCATGTAGCTACCACTTATTTGTTTTGCTTTTTGCCCACATCAGCTCCCACTTTTAGCCTTGGCAAATGGATGGATCGGTCGGGTTTTAGGTTGGGTTGACTGGCATGACAAGTTATACGGGTTAAGTCATAAATGGGATTCGGGTTGAAAAAATTCAATCATAATCTGACCTTAATGGATTATGAGTTAACTTGCTAGTTGACCTTATTTTCAATGTTTATAATTATTTTTATT